AACATCTATCGATGTTTCATTTTTCAACAGACCGCACATCTAACAAAGACATCTCGACATGGTGGTGTTTCGATCCTTAGAGTTTATTTAGAAACGTCGTTACCTCTTCCTTATTGCGCCGTTGGACTATCGTTGCAGAGGCCTGTTGATTCCCTTGGAAGTATATGGACGAGGCATCTTTACGAAAACAAATCCTTTAAATCCAGCTATAGATCTCAAGCATCGATGGTCAAAGACTTGAAAGAGCTTCCTATCCTCCGCCCGAAGTGACCCGATCTGGCAACCGTGCAATTATACAGCCCACATTGTACCCTGATATACGTGTCCTCTGAGACCCAGTGAAGTGCTTTTTTGATGCAACGGAAATCAGCAAACGCAATCCTGAACTTGGGGAATCGAACGTTCACTTTGTCTCTTACATCAACGTCAGACCTAATGCGACTTTCGGGATACGTATAGTGTTCCACAACTTTCAGTGCACTTCTTGAATTCTTATAGGCATGTTTAATACTCTGTGCCTCACAGCGTGAATTTGTACTTTGTGAGCTTGAAGCACATGTTGAAGGAATGGACGATCAGCTTTTCTAGCATTGTTTGCGCTCCCTACTCTCCAGCAATGAGAAAAATGTTGTCTGCATATTCCACATCGACAAGGTTCTCGTTCAGAGAGACCGGGGTTTCGGAGGCCTTCCAGTTTTCGCCTCATTGCTTCAATATTGACGGGCTTAAACAGAACAGCGATTTTCTACTCTTACCAATAAATTAGGTAGCTTATTGTGGAAAGCCATGGAACAGTTCGTTTGCCAAAAACACGGGACATTAATTTCTATGCGTGTATCAGAACAAAAATATTCGCAGATTTGAGGTAAAAACCGCGTCAATGGCAGACCTTTTCCAAACTCCAGAATCCTAGGCTGAGCGGAAGCCTTGGAAATCGAGAAGTCGGATAGCTAATGGTATTCCGCACATGATAGTAGAACAGGGCATAATTTCTACCAAGATATGTGAACACAACAAGCTCACTGGTAAAACCATGACCTAGCGCGCATTACAAATTCATCTCCTACCTGGATAACAAATGAAAGACCACTTCCAGAGGACGCAAACGATTGAGTTTCAGTCGGAAAATGACCGGTATGATCAACCCGGCATCCAGCCCGAAATCTACACATGACTGACTTCGATCAAATGAGTTAATGACGAAAAAAGTAAAATGCAGTGAATGCGACAAAAGTATCGGGTCACCCTCGAGTGCCGTCCCGTCGAGAAAGAGAGCCTGGTGATAATCTCCTGACTATCTCACCTCATTGCACTTTTAACCAACATAAATATGATAAGTTGACGATTTTTTTCCACTCTGGTCAAAACAGCCATCAAAGCATATTCGGACTGCACTAATCATAAGGTTGCTGAAAATTCGTCGACAGCCCACGACCGGTTTCACTCTTCTTGGGGCTCATCAAGTGGAGGCAGTCCCCGAGTTTCCATCAACCTTATGTTCTACTTGAAACCGAATTGCACGAAATTAGCGAAATACACTTATTTGCAAACTAATTTGGCTTTTGCGAGAGACCCACCTGGAACCCAACTGAATCTCCCGTTTGTGATGTTTCCATCCAGCCATCAAAACATTCTGTCAGTCGTAGACCTTCGCATCTTTGTTCACTCGTTGTGCCGGTATACTGCACGAGTTATCTACTAGGTGGATATCAAGATTACAAGTAATCCAGTCCAAAAACTGCATCAGACGTACCGGGAGGATGGCCTTAGTGATGTGAGGGGCTCGACTCGTCTCGCCGTCTTGTTCGACTACTCCTCATTTGACTTTTGGTCATGGCGGCGAATTACAATAGTGAGTGTTCCATGTTTGTGTATGTCCACCTTAGACTAAGTCTTCATGAATGGGATGCCCACAAATTCCATGATTGATACGCCGAACGTAAGAGGACATTGATTGTTCTAGGCTTACAGAGATTGGTGTTGCTCTAGGTATTTATCATACTTTACTAAAATCGCGACAGGGTTGTTCGAGCCCTCTCGCTCCTGAACGTTCAGCCTGTAAACTGTCAAGACTCGGCTGACTTGCCACCTGTAATTGAGTTATAGCAATACAGGCAGTACAGCGAAGAAGTCGCTCTGGGCGATATATGGATTTCTGGGAAACACGTCCGGCTAGCGGATGACTCACCTGGAACCAAGTTGAATCTCTCGTTTATGATGTTCTTCAACTGAATGCGCTGTACCAGGCCGACTTATCTTTCAGATCGTACGATATTTGAGATACCACATTATATTGTATACACGTAGTACACTACTCATAAGTTTACAGACATTTCAGCAGCCATATCAGTCGTGTATTACATCTATGGGATTCACAGCATTCAGGAAGTAACCTGGTGGGTGCTGCATGCAGATGACAGTCTGAAAAATGATGATCAAAGAAAGGGTAAAGATCCGTTTAGCTATAGATTGGACTGAAACAGGGTGACATCTACAGAACCATATACTTTTGATGGCAGAACAGCATGTGTTTCGAGAAGAAGGGTCCCATGTTTCGGATATCTCCCTTATTCAGGATTGGTAAACTCAGGTACTGAAGAAGAGGTTTCGAGGTTGCTTTCTTGTAGAAAGGATTGAAAAGTACGAACCGGGTCCGTGACTTCTCACGCGACACATCCGGCAGGTCAAGGTGTGTGTAACTCTTTTTTGTGGAGATTTCGTCCTGCAAGTGAAGCCAATCTATGCTGAAAAGCCGAGAAGCACTGTACAGCTGTTTCATCCTTATTGGGAATCATCAGCAGTGCGCATCTCACGAAACTCCGGAGAGTCTCGAACCCGAGACCTCCTGGCTAGTAGTTTGAACACTTAACCATTCGGCCACGAGCGGCTGATCAGTGATGTGGTTAACTCGCACTTAGACAGGATATAGCGCCGCTCATCCTTCAATCACGGGATCCACATCACGCGGTCACACGTGTTGACTGGCTCCTCAAGCAACGAGTAACTCTGCTCCAGACAGATTTGTTCAACATCAGTCGACCAGCTACCTCGGAACTCCGCCGGTTGGCCAACGTTGGCTCATTTCAGCTGCGATCAAGACGGTGAAGTTCTTCGGATCGCTATCTGAGAACACTCTTCGCGAAAACTGGAAGAATAATTGTGGAACAGGAGTTGAATTGAGTGGGAGAATGGCAGCTGCTGCCGCTAGACTAATATGATCTCTCAGAAGATCCTTGTTTCACGTTTCCGGTACCCTTTTTTTAAAACTATTTTTTCCACCTTTTTTCAGACCAGTTTAGGAGTTTAGGTTCAGTTCCAGAAAGTGTTTTCAGATATTCCTCCCTAGGTCATACAATTACCAAATGTTAAGCATTATATATATATATATACCTAAACGTGATATATGTACGTAGACGGGGGTGGATCCAACTTATTGGGTGTCGTACCGGAGAATAACAATCTAAAATTAATACAACTCACATGGTGACATGAGCACGGTGTTTTATCTTTTGCCCCTACTTGGCACTATACAGCCAAAAGTAACAAATGAAACCTGCCCTGTCTCAAAAAGACCAGAAAAAGTACTTTGTTACCCTGTTTACCTTTCAACAATCTAAGCCTAGTGTTTTATCGTTTCTTCCTATCCGGCACCACTGCTGATGAACCTGGGGATCCGGAATGTTGAATTGCGTTGTTCATAAAAAATGTTCATGATCAAACCATGTAGAGGGCAAAGTGGCGTTGTTCGCGTCATTGGTATAAATGTAGTGGTAAGTGGCGCAGTAAGTCAATTTATCATCAAGAAGGAACAGCTTCGTGGTAACATTAGCAGGAGTTTACATTTTTCATGATGTCGATCTGTTCCACCAGCATATGTCACCTCCTCTCGTGTGTCGGTTATCACACCGAAGCGGTAGCAGATCGAATGGTTAGAACTCAGTCCAAAGGATTCATCTGTTGGCCTTGATAGCACCACTGGAAGGTTGGGTTTGCAGTCGTTAAAGAGGTGTTACGTCAAAAGATAAAGTACAGATAACCTCACTACCCAGCTGTTCCGAGTTTCACCATCTCTTTAAACCTTTGCGTCTACTATGGTTCAAAGGTCTTCTATCTAAGTCGAAGAACTGTTTTCTTTTCCCCTTCTGTATCCCATTACCAGAAGGCTTCACGAATCCCTTGTATATAGAACCCCACGCATCACTTACGTTAACCAATCTCTAATTAACTTGAATTTCACTATCACTGATGAACACACGTAAGTAGTTTGAAATGTTATCTTCTGAGGGCTCTGGAACATTGACAGTGATGTGCTGAGTCTTTGTGTCCTATGCTATGTGAATATCTATGGGTCTCGGTGGTGAATTATCGTCAGTTGCACCGGCATTCATATTTTCGAACGCTATTGGATAAGTTTTGTCCCACATGAAATATCTGCACAACTACCAGGCACACTGAGCACTACTCAACAGAACGATGGACAGACTAACTAACTACATGCCCATTAAATGTCACTTCAACGGACCAGAGTACAATTCGGAAGACAATGTACAGATCGTAATGAGGGGTGGGGACATCACATTTTATAAATCACCGATTAAGATAAGAACCTGGAACCTGTGCATATTGCAGCTTTGTAGTTTGTCCGGAAGTGAGTAGACAATAAATTCAGAAGGATCTTGCCTATCACTGATTACCTTACTGGGGTGACAGCTCCTTACTGGCTACACCAGCTAGGAGTTTGTAACTGGAAAAACAAAATGGTGAAACTTGATTCCAAAGCCAGAAATGTGCGCAACTAGTTTTCCTACATGCTGCACTTCTCGCGTTACCAAGTAGGAAAGGCTACGATCAGTTTGCAACGATGCTCAGATTACGCTACAAACTGCATGATCCGGAAATCCAACTCACCACTAGCGCCTAGCGTTAGTTTTTATACAGGTTCTGAGTACTATAAATAAGGTGTACCTCAATGATATACTAGTTTCGGTTGATACTGCGATATGCTAATACTGTGGCTGTTATGGCTATCTTTCCCACTGCCTTCAATGGGTCAGTGGGACGCGTTGGACTGGATGTACAAGCCTTTCATTACTCGACCTGATCGAGTATTTTCCATCACCATGGGAGCTTTACGTGCCGGTCAGCCTGCTGTCATCTACACCTTTGGCACACAACCAATGAACATCACCTACACGTTGTTTGAGAAGGGCCAATACTCTGTGGAGCAAGAGGATGGGAGGGAACATCAGTTCGCTGTGTCCGAACCGGTCGGAGAAAATTTGCATCTTGTTCGGCACCTATACAACTACTCAAAGCAATCGAAGATGTGGTCGGATATGTTTATCCGGTTAAACATTCAGATAGAGAACAGAACTGAACCGGTGCGTTACTATCACCAAGTGACGGTGGATGACAATCAGGATTTGTTTCTTATCGAAACAAGCAAACCAACTTATCGACCTGATGAGATTGTCTGGTTCAGTGTTGTCTGTCTGCAGCCCAGACATTGGAGCCTAATCGGTGGTGAGGATTTTGGAAATGTATCTGAACCCCGATTCTCCATCACGGTAAACAGCAGCGAAACCAATACGGTCGTCTATCGTTGGGATAACCTTACAGCCTCTCAATCAAAGAAATTATCCTTTCGTGTGCCCGGCAACTCCAGCCAAGGAATGTGGACGATCAGTGTGAATGCGACTGGCAGGCTGGAGTCCACATCCTTTTTAGTGCTAGACCGGAAAGATCTCATGCCTACGATTCGATTCCAGCCAATACTTTGGACAAAACCTCCGTTATATGGCTCTATTCAAGTCGGCTTTTGTGCTAACCAGACTGATGGAAGACCCGTCGAAGGCCCAGTTAAACTTATGCTCTGTCATTGCACTGTCCCCACGGTCCAACGGAACGAAAAAGATCTTTCTTCACCTTTGACAGCAAACTTCACAGAAGCTCTGATTTCACGTGAGTCCTGTCCGACCAAAGATGAGTCATTGAAACACCGACCCTGTGCAGTTCGTGATGAAGTTATACGGGAAACTAATGGTTGCCTCAAGCATTCATTTGAATGGAATCCCACTGTATTTGATCGAATTTCCTCCACCGATGACTCAAACTTTATCCTCTGTGCTCGTGTATTTGATGCACCAACAAATCAATTTTACTCGCTCTGCGAAGATCTAGCTTCCACTATAGCCGATCGTGCTACTATCATCGTTAACCCATTCTATAAATACGGACTACCCATGGTCGGATTTGCTAAAATACCGCCTCCTTTGGTTTCGACGGACATGAAATATGTTTTTAAAATGTCCTACTCTAAGGATTCATGCAAATTGGGAAACAAATTATCGGATTTGTGGTTACCAAGGGACATTTCAGCAAATACCGTGCTTGGCGAAGAGTTTTCCAGGGCAGAACACAGTCAGATTCAGCTCGATGCACATGAAGATTTAGTGGCCAGATTTACTGTACCACCAATCTTTTCCGATTCGCCAATGCTGGTGGATGTCCGTCAGCTAGCTCCAGGGTTGTTCTTTGAAACCATCGATGATGCAGTCAAACTGTTTCCCGCTCATGAGACTACTTATGAAGCAATACAACTATGGCCCTCGCCTCTAGAACCAATCAGTGCTGAGTGCGAGCCAGTCGTGAACTTATCGATCATTGGAAACACGAAACTGACTGACAAGCAATGGTTCGTATTTGCCATTTCTAGAGGAACGATTATAGAACTCGACCTTGTAGACACTGAAGAACAACTGCAGGCTGACTTCATGTGTCAGGAGCAAAATGGTCCACTCGGACACTATGTGTGTCTGAACGAAAGTGATGTTCAGAATGATACCGTCGAATGCCTGCTTGGATGGCAGGGGATTGGCTGTTTGGAACCGGTCTGCTCGCCCCATTGTAATCCACAATCTGGGTATTGTACATTACCTTACGAATGTCGGTGCCGTTCCGGCTGGAGAGGTGACGGGTGTAACCAATGTGAGAATTGCTGGGATCAAGTGTGTCACACACCACATGGCCTAGTCCAGTGGGACTGTGGGTTGATGAGTAATCAAACGCTTGGAACAAAAGCCCAGGTGGAGTCACAAAGATCCTCAGTCTACTCTACCAGGTTTATTTTTCAACGAAATTTGACTGTAAAATTACCACCGAATGTGTTTGGTGAATTGAAATTTGTTGTCTTCTATTTTCATCATTCAGAGAATGGCGTAATTGAACCTATTTCTACGCGTGGTGTGATCCGTCGCCCGGAATACTGTCCCAGGCCTCACGAAGACGCTTCCGTCAAGTTTAACCGCACACATGCTTTACCTGGTTCGCCAGTTCAGGTCGTTGTGCTGCCTGACAAGTCCGTACTGGATGAGTACGCAGTGTGCCATGTGAGGGTCTGGGATGAGCGCTTGTTAGCACAAAATGAAGACCGTCAGAATCTCCTGTATGTCGACGCCTATGAGAAACGGTTTAAACAGAACTCAGATGGCGTAACATCTCAGCAAGTCCTATCCGGCCAGTTCTACGATTTCCACACCTTTGGTTTCAGCCTAGGAGCCATGCCGACGGATTCATATGGCGGATGTGATGTACAACGGAATAGGAAGGAGTTGCCAGAGCAAGTTGTCCGCGCGAGAACGGACAATTGGCACACTGACCATGTGTTGTACGAGGTTGGAACACCTGAAGTTTTACAAAACTTAACAGCTGATGAAGAGACACTCAACTGGGGGCTACGGTATTCATTCACCGTTCCTCAAACAGGTTACCACTTACGAGCAAGTGCATTCTGCTATGGCAAAGAAAAAGGAGTCTGGAGCTCCATGTCTATGCCGCTGTTGATTGACGATGCTATCGGTTTTCAACTCACATCTGTTGCTAGTATGGATCTCTTGGAAACCACCAACCTTCAGATTTCCCTATTCATTCACGGACCATTCCAGAAAAACAACTGTATCATATTTTCTATATGGATTAAATTTGATGAACGAATCCTTTCGTTCAGTGGACCAACAGCGTTTTCTTCCCCCTGCATTTGTAACCGCACAGTGGAAAGAAAGTTTGCCACACAGTTTACTGCCAAAATCCCTGAAGAGACGCTGATCAAGGCCGAACTGTTTTTGCTTCCTCAAAACTCCGGTTGTGATACCAAGCCAAACACAGCTGATTATAATCAGTCGAGGAGTATGAAGCCGATACGAACCATAGTCAGACGGATAAGAGTCCGTCCAAGCGAGAATCCCCAACGTACCGCAACTGTTCTGAAGTGCTTCACTGCACCGGATCACAGTGAGTCATTGCCAGTTGATATCAAGCTCCCATCTTCTGAGCCAGATGATGACGAACATACGGATTTCGGGTCTACCTATTTTAGCTACAGTGGAAATGTAGTCGATCCTATACTAAGAAATTTTCAGCATTATGATCAGAAGCCTCTGCTTACAGCCCATGACAGTCTAGCGGCTCTGTCAACAGCAATTCAGTCATTAAATCACCTGGCATCATATAATCATGACCCAGCGACAACCAGCCAATCACGGGCGACGAAGATCAATAGTGCGATTCATTCTGCTTTTGTCAGATTAGCTTCGTTCAAGACATATCCAGGCCGGCTAAACAACAGTATGGTGTATGCCGAGACTGGTCTTGCGTCTGATCCGAAGCTGAACCTTCTAGTCTATCGTGCGCTGAATCATCTTGAACGAAGTCCATCTGCCCGAGCACCAAGCATGACCGTCATCTTGAGATCAGAACTGGACGGTCTGTTTCGCGAATTCAACGCCACATATCCTGTATCAGACTGTCACAGCAGCAACAGTAATCAGACGTTAGATGAAATGAAACTCTCGTTCCTGTCACAGTGGTACATCGCGTTGAAGGAAAGTTCCTACGAACCGAGCTATCGAGAACTGTTGGATCGGAATATCGAAGCTACTACACATCACCTGGCAACCTGCTTAGCATTGTTTGCTCATCGTGAATATAGTCAGACCTCAGGTCGTTTGGAGCGATTCAGGACATCTAGTCTGGCCAATCTAGCCTACGCGCTGTCCCTCATTGAACCGAATCTTGATTCGCTAACCAAAATACTCGATATTGTCCTTCGNATTCGCTAACCAAAATACTCGATACTGTCCTTCGAAGACAAATTCGTACTCGACCAACAGTCGATACATCAGAGCAAGAGGTTCATTGGGAAGATGAGAATTCTGCAGAAAACCCAGCCGAGATCACATACCATGCCTACATGGCATTATTCAACACGAGGAAGAATCTTACGGATCTTGTTCCTATAATACGATGGCAGCTAAAACACCTGTCCGTCTTTGGTACCGTTTCGGATCCGATTGACTCCTATTTTATTGGACTACAATTGTTCACTTTTATGCGGCACCTCGGAACCCTCAATCCGAAGAAATCACAATCTTCCTATGAAATCAGGCCGGCTCAAGAAGACAATTTTTCTGTCTCACTGATGGGCGCTTTCAACGGTTCACCTATGAATTTCACTCAAGGGATACTCACTCTTTTGGATGGTTCCAGCGACTTTCTTCAAGGATTGAATTTTACTGTTGCTCCGCGTGTGCCCTCAGTTGGGTGCTTTGTGGCAACACTGACCCAGATTTCTTACCGATTATCAGAGTTGCGGGAAAACAGTTCCACGGATGGTATCACACTCAGCATTGAGAAGTTGGAAAGGAATGTAAGCAATCCGCCGGGGGCCCAAGTTGCTGTTTGTCTAAACAGTTCTTTAAATGAGTCGTTGCACTTAACAGTAAGAGGTCAAACAGGCTGGGAACTGCAGAGCATACCCAAAAGTGCCTTCGTCTCGACTAGCGTTGTCAGCATTACTGAGGACAACGTAGTCCACTTTGTACTGGCCATGGAACAGTATGCTGGGTGCCTTGAGTTCCTGTACACACAAACGGCAATCATGAGCTTTGCTCACCCGATGAAAGTGATAGCTAAATCGTCCACCCCTGTGGGATCACGGAAGACCGAAGCGTTTTATCTGTTACCAACGTCGGATAACCCATCGGACATACGCCCATCATTCAGCCAATCCCATCGTTGGACATCGAAAAAGGACTGCCGCAACTTCAGGGTACGGCCATTCGAATACTGGAACGCTATGAGAAACTTCTCAGGAGACGTGAAGACCATCTGTAAAGCACCCGTGTTTTTGTTTCACCTTCAAATCAAGGATGCTTGGCTGCTTGTAGCCCACGTTTCCGCTAAGAGAGAAATATGTATTTGGCAACTTCAAATCAGTCGCTTATGGAGTCAGTGCTTTGGCGGTTTGAAAGAGTGGACGATTGTCAACACAGTTACAGATGAGTTTATACAGCAGCTATCGATCGAACAAACCCTTGAATTCATCAGTCGATCACCGAATACGTTGACGCTTGATGGAGCGGAGTTTGACGAGTTTCTGTTTGCAAATGAGGCAAACGGATGCAGAAATTTGCCCGAACTAAAAACCATGATGGGCGACAATTTGACATACAACGTTTAATGTGAATCTTGCTTTGCTCAAATTGGTCTCGATTTTAAAAAAATCAATAAACTGCGTGTAATGCATAGCTTTTCGTTTTCCACACAGTTTTAAGGAAGAACTGCTGCGCAGCCGGAGATCGTAAATTAGGTAGAGACTACTTAGAACTCAGCAGTTGATTTCCTTGCGTGTTTTCATCAGAATTTAGTTTTGTCGGGGTTAGTATGACAAAAAAGGTGTCGAATGAAATATCTCAAACATTCGAATCTCGGAACTAACATTACCGGACAGCACCGAAATTACTACAGGAGTTTAGCTCGCAATAAATGGTCCTTACGTGTGAGCACATTCCTTCGCCGGTTAATCAAAACAAGACACTCAACGCTGAGGGAGATTGAAAAGAGAAGAAGCTCTTTCATCTTTAGCTAAACTGATCAACCTTGTCACACAATCCCGAAGGAACTAAGGTGGAACTAAACAATGAAACTCCTAGGATACGTTTCTTTTGGTTAGTCTCGGTGTTTAAACCTGCCCACTTGTTCTGTGGAGGCCATTGTAAACTTACTTTACTCAGTCGCTTCGTAAGAACGTGAATTCTAGAAATCTCGCAAAAACCTGCAACTAATCAAAATCTGCCCGACAGGTTTCAATAGTCCGTGACGCAAGCTGACAAGGAAGTCCTGAAAAACAGGTCAATCAGTCAACAAAATCAGGATGGTTACTGGGTCACCATCGGGCAGACCAGTCGCATCGCTAAAGTGTGAACACAACAGCCTGTTTAGACCTGATAACCATGCGCTGGTATACTAGCAACTCTGTGACCTCGCATGTCGGATGTCCGGAGTTCAAATCTCGACACTGTCAAAGACATGCACTACTGATGAGATCTAATAAGAGTGAAATTCGAATCCGATTCTTCCCTCTTTCGTGTGGACTTGCCAGAATAATTGCTCCTGGACTGCTCAAACGAGAGTGATGTGAATGCGAAGTCTACGAATCTCGTAACCACCTACAACAAATTAAAAAACCCTCCTTGGTGGGAATAGACCGTTTGATTTACCGGTTATATCAGCGTTGACAGCCGCAGCATAAAACTCGAAAAAGCTAGCCTAGCCATCCCCGGATCACTGACAACTGGATCTGTGACCCTGAACTCACCACAGAGAGCTGAGTAGCCCGAATTCTACTAATTCGAAACAATACAAGGCAGGACAGGTGACGCTCACTTTGCGATTTAACGCATCGCATAATTTTCTTGCCGATGGTAGCAAGAAATTACCGATAACGTCGACAGGTAACTGAGTATATCACACAGAGTATCACACAGAACAGAGCTGACGAACTATTGCAAATGTACAAACCGTCACACAGAATACACCTAGAAATTATGAAACGAAGGCTCGCAGGTCCGGGCGGCTTCATGCAAAGCAATGGCTCTTCTCAGAGACAACCAACAAAAAAACGAATTTTTTTCCAAAAATGAAGGACAGCATAAGCATTCCTGTATGACTCAATGAATTTTATGAACGTCTTGGTGCTTGAAAAACGAGCCTTCCACACCCTCGGTTTACTCTGGCTTCATCTGGGGTCAGATCTTCNAAGTGCTTTCGTCTCGACTAGCGTTGTCAACGATACCGAGGGCAAAGTAGTCCGCTTTGTATTGGCCACGGAACAGTATGCTGGGTGTCTAGAGTTCCTGTACACACAAACGGCAACCATGCGTTTTGCGCACCCGATGAAAGTGATAGCTGAATCGTCCACCCCTGTGGGATCACGGAAGACCGAAGCGTTTTATCTATCTGT